GGAGGAGGAGGAGGAGGAGGAGGAGGAGGAGAGGAGGAGGAGGAGGAGGGGGGAGGAGGGAGGAGGAGGAGGAGGAGGAGGAAGGAGGAGGGGAGGAGGAGGAGGAGGAGGAGGAGGAGGAGGAGGGGAGGGGGAGAGGGGAGGAAGGAGGAGGAGGAGGAGGAGGAGGAGGAGGAGGAGGAGGAGGAGAAGGAGCAGGTGGGGTGTGGGGGGGGGGCCAACGCTGGGGGGGGGGGGGGGGAGGGCACGGGGGGAGCGCGCCCGCCCGCCCGCGGCGCCCGCCAAACGCAGGGCCCCCCTCCCGGGCGGCTTGCTCCTCCCCTGCCGCGTCCGCTCGCCGGAGGGTTCCAAAGGATTTTTTTGGGGGGGGAGGGGAATTTTCCAGGAGGGGTCCCCCAGAGGCTCCGCACCCCCTGTTCTGACGAGGTTCCGAGGCCCCTGCGGGCCTCTCTGGAAAACCCCCTTCCCCCCCCCCCCCCTGGAACCCTCCGGGCTCGGGCTCGCGGGTGCGCCAGGGAGCACAGGTAAGCGCGCTCCACGACTCGCAGAATGACCGCTCGCGAATGGCCTGACTCCGCCGCGGGGGGTGCCCGACCCATGCCATCGAAGCAGGCATGTTTTTTCGTCCAGGCGCTTGCGAGTAGGAGTGCGAGGGAGCAGCAGTAAGACGAAGCCAGGACGAGGATACATTCGGGTGAGGGTAAATCGAGAACCTCTGATATCCAGCGGCTCTGGAGGATGTCTCGGGCGCCGCGGCCTTCTCAGGGCGTTCCGGAGCCCTCTGAGAGAGCTAGGCCAGAAGAACATCCCTCACGTACACGAAGCCCTCCGCCGGCCAAAACGCTGTGAGCATCCAGGGGTACCCTCCCCAGGGTGCACAAGAGCATCCAAACAAGCACGAAGAACATCAGGGTGCCCTCCCCGAGCCGACCTCGATCTTATACCTCGGTCCGACTGTGTCCCTGTCGCAACGGCGATCAGCAGCAAGGCGGGGGGAGCGGGGACGCGCACGACCGCCCGCGGCCTCGCACCAGCCTGCGAAACGAGCGCCCCCCCTATCCCCGGACTTCCGCCGTGCTCTGGTGGATTCTCGGACGGAACATCGTGTCGGCGAGTCGCCGCAAGCGATGCGGCAAAACATATGGCGTATGGCGGGTTGTGCCGCCGCGGAAAAGTGACGCGGCGGTGTCTGCACAGGTATGGCAGAAACAGCGACGGCTGAGCAAGGCGGAAAGCTCTACATCAGAGGAACCTGAACGTAAACCGGGGCGGAAAGTACCGCCCTGCTCACGAGATCGCCCAAAGTAGGGCGGTTCGGAGTCAGGGTATATCTACAACCCCCTCGAAATCAAACGCAAGTTCTTATCCTACCCCCTTGCCCTCAAATCTCTCTGTTGATGGACGCGCGCAGCGCGGCCCGCGGGGTCGACAGAACAATTGCAGTCGCCAGCATCGGCGTCAACATTGACGTTGGCGGCCAGGGGGCGTCGCCGTGTCGCGGGAAAACCTTGCGTTTGAATTCGAGGCGGGATGTAGAGGCCTCCCAGATGGGGTCCGAGCAATGGGGTCGGAGGATCTCGCCGACCAGGGCGGAGAGAAATAGTCGGGGATCTACTCACCCGGGTCAATCAAGACCCGGGCCCGTCAGTCTCTGCAAGATCCGGCAAGGTCCTGCAAGATCCTGCACCCAAGCCCAGGTCAATGCGACCCTAGCCCTGCAAAATCCTGCAAAATCCGGCGCTCTGCCTGGCCCCCGTTTGGATTGACCCCCGTTTCAAGGCCTCCGAGAGGCAGCGAGGCCCCGGGTCTCTCGGCTGCCGCCCTCCATGGCCGCCCCGGCGGAGGCGCCGCCGTGCCCTCGCGCGTCCTGCCCGCTCTCTCGCCTCCCCGCGCCCGAACCCACGAGCTGACGAGAGGGCAACACGCACTCAGGCCTTGCGCGAGGCAGGAGGATCTGGTGGAGCGTTCGGTGGCAGCTCACGAGAGCCTCCCTGACCATCTTGTCGGCTCCTGCGAATCGACGCTAAACGACGCCAGTCGACGCCAATCGACGCGAACCGACGCTAGATCGACGCGAATCGACGCTAGCCGACGCTAAGTCGGCACATGTCATCGACTCCAAGACGTTATTCGACGCTAAAGACGGAACTAAGAAGGTAGACCAGGCTCCCACGATTTGCTTTTGAAATTGAATGGTTGTCAGCCGTCACTCCCTGATCAGAGCAACTCGCCTGGCGTCCCTTTCGCGAAGCGTCAAGAGTTTCCCCAACGGGCCCACATGGCAGTCGGTCGAGGGTTGTCTCAGCACCACCGCCCTGGACTACGGTCGGGAACTTCGGCTTAGCGTGTCGCGGCGGCGGCCCCTGCGACATGCTGTGCTCTGCGAGCGGACCTTGTGTCGCCCCGCTCCGCGGGGCAGGAGACCTCGGAAAACCCAGGACGTTAAAGCTTGGGGACTGGGACGTGGCTAACGTGTCGCGCCGAAGCGTGGTGGGCCAGAACCAGCGGAACGACGCGCTACCTCAAAGTTTCTGACTGTGGGGACGAAGATAGGCGCGATAGGTATGGGTACGAATTGTCGAGCCCCGAAAGGGGCTCCAGCTCGAGCCCGGGCACCCAGCCGACCACCAGAGCCACCCGCCCGGTTTTCCACCCCGGGAGACCTGGGCGTCGCATAAGTACGGAAGCCAGCTGTCAGCTCACGAACGATCGGTGCCGCGCCCTTGTCTGTCTGCGGTCGAACAGCTCGTTTCTCTGGTCCATCGGTGTACAGTCGACCCGTATCATAAGGATTCGCGATAAAGATACAGGGGAATTGGGCGCCCATTCTGAAGCTTTCCGGGCGGGGCGCGGCCAACGAAAGTGGCAAAGGATGGGCCAAGGAGGCAAGGATGCTAGGGTACCCTTGGGAAGATTGCCCTTCCTTCCTATGCGGGTTGGCTGTAGGTATGGAAGCCAGCTGTCAGTTCATGAATGATCGGTGCCGCGCCCTATGTCTGTCTGCGGTCGGACACCTCGTTGCTCTCGTCCCTCGGTGGTACGGCCGCAGCCCGAAGCTTTACTAGGTCGGGCACCTCATACAGAGGACGCTAGTCCACAAGAACCACAAGAAACCCAACCTTGAGACCCCAGGACGTCCACTGATTTTCGGTGTGGGAACGTCGCGTTTCCCACAGCAAAACCATCGAAACCCAAGAGAACCCAGGGCACCCTGGAGGCGAGCAGGGTGTTTCTTGGCACGGGTCTCCACTGTACTTGTGGCCTCGGCCACCTGCATTCGCGCATCGCGCCCCGCAGCGCGCGATCGGCTTCGCGGCCTCGCGGCGGTGCCTCCTTGGAGAAGGGCAGCTCTCCGGCCCAAAGGGCCGCGACGCGCGTGCAGCGCGAATCTTCGCGCGCTCGAGGGTGGTGACGCTGACGTCCTGGAGGGTTCCACAAGGGGGCTCCGCTCCGCCTCCTCCTCCTCCTCCTCCTCCTCCTCCTCCTCCTCCTTTTGTCTTTCTTTCGTTCAAGCTCATAACTCCAGGAAAATACCGTGCACAAGCAGCGGTTCATACCTGCACTGCCAGTCGATCGGGCCCCGAATTCCGATAATCCACGCAGCAGCTGCGCAATCGCCACCACGAAATCCTCCATCTGTTTGGATTACCACGTTGGCGATGTGGATAGACATCGTAGTGGTGAAAATGTTCTGCCATGTTTTCCAAGCGTCCATTGTGTAGTTGCCAGGCCGTCCGCTACTTTGATATGGCCTCTTCTCCACTAATGTACTGGGTCTTGGTGAATGTGTGACGGTTTCCAACGATTGCCCATGTGATCAACAATTCTGCTCAGCATTTGGGATGCTCCCCCTCCTGCTCCTCCTCCCTCCTCCTCCTCCTCCTCCCTCCTCCTCCTCCTCCTCCTACTCCTTCTCGTCCTCCTCCTCCTCCTTCTCCTCCTACTCCTCCTCCTCTTCCCTGTCCCTCTCTCTCCTCGTCCCCTCCTCATCCTCATCCTGCTCCTGCTCCTCCTCCTCCTCCTCCTCTCTCCTCATGATCATCATCATCATCATCATCATATCATCATCATCATCATCATCATCATCATCTCATCTCATCATCATCATATCATCATCATCATCATCATCATCATCATCATTATCCTCCTCCTCCTCTCATCATCATCATCACCATCACCATCACATCACCATCACCATCATCATCAGCATCACCTCATCAGCATCACATCACTAAGCAGCAATATCATCCTCATCTCATCCTCATCCTCATCATCCTCATCCTCATCCTGATCCTCATCCTCATCCTCCTCCTCATCCTCCTCATCATCATCATCATCATCAACAGCATCATCATCATCATCATCATCATCATCATCATCATCATCATCATCATCATCATCATCGTCGCCATCGCCATCGCCATCGCCATCGCCACCATCATCATCATCATCATCATCATCATCATCATCATCAGCAGCAGCAGCAGCAGCAACAGCAGCAACAGCATCATATTATTCCACCCGCTTCTCCTGCAGGAGCTACTGCATGACGCAGCGTGCCTCAGCAGCAACAGGCCTGCCCGGCTCCCCCTGGCCGCCGTAGGTGGTAGTCGCGGCGCTCTCTGCCCTCCGACGACCCGAATCGACAAACTCCCTGGACTCGGAATGTAAATCGAATCGGGCGTCGCGTCGGCACGGAGTTGGAATGGGATCGGATCGGTTGCGCCAGGATGCACAACAGCGCCGTGCAAGCGTCGGGCCGCATCGGATCGGCAGAACATCGCCATCGGATCGACGCGGGCCGGCTGGAATCGACATCGAACCGGATCGAGGAGGAGGACGAGGACGAGGACGAGGAGGAGGAGGAGGAGGAGGAGGAGGAGGAGGAGGAGGAGGAGGAGGGAGGAGGAGGAGGGAGGAGGGAGGAGGAGGAGGAGGAGGCGAAGAATAGATATCGAATCGGATCGAACCGAGACGGCCCCTGCAAGCCGGTGCCCCGCCGAGTCACGGCGATGCTGCTCACCACGACGAGGCGCTCCACGCCAGCGTCGCGGGCCGCCAGCGCCGCCTTCACGAGGCCGCGGTTGTCGACGTCCCTGGGCCTGGCTCCGCCTCTGGAAGAAGAGCAGCAGCAGCAGCAGTAGCAGCAGCAGCAGCAGCAGCAGCAGCAGCAGCAGCAGCAGCAGCAGGAAGCCAAGCATCTGACAGGACGCGCAGGCAGAACAGAGCGCGATTGGCTACCCTTCGGGAGACAAAAAACATGCGTGGGAGGCGCTGCAGAGAAGAAGAGCACGCAGCACAAACACAGACTGTTGGAGGTCCGCGCGGAGCTCTTGGATCTGCGCTGGACCCGCTCCTCTGCCCCGGAGGGCTCTGTGGCGGGGCCCCGGAGGGCCCCCTTTTCTGCAGCCTTCGCTGCCACCCCCCATCGCATCGCCCCCTCCTCGTCACGCGACGCCGAAGCCCTTGGCCTCGGCGCCGGACGCGCCGCCAGGGGGGCCCAGCGCCGATCCAGCAAATTTCTGTGCGGAGCTCCGAGAGCTTGATGAGAAGAGGCCCAGGGACACACAAATAGATAGACACATATCCCAGGATTCCCAATATTTTCAAATACTTTCTGGGTTTTCGCCCCCCCCCCCCCCCCCCCCCCCCTGATTCCCATATTTTCCCATGTTCCCAGGTATCGCCGATGAATTGGGTCTGCGTGTTTTTGTCCCCTCCTGAGTTTAGGTTTTGGCTTACAGACGAAGCATGGCCACGAGAGCGTGGAGCAAGGGCTAGGTTGGGCATGTCCTCCTACAGGCGGATGTTGGTGGACGATTTCTTTTCTTAAAACCACATATATATAATATCAGAAGTGGTGGAGAAATCGTCCCCAGACTATTTTTGACTATTCTTGAGTACTCGTCCTGTAGAGGGACACGCCCGACTGAACCCAAGGCGGGGAACCAACACACGGAGAACACTAGGGTACCGTTGGACCTAGGTCAGAATAACATTACCCAAAGAAAACGAGACCCTCCGTCGGCCAAACAAACAGAACATCCAAGGGTAACCTCCCCAAGATGCACAAAAAACATCCGACAAACACGAAGAACATTAGGGCACCCTCCCCGAACTGGCCTCGCTCTTGTACATCGGTCCGACGGTACTCCTCCAGCGCTGGGGCTGCTCCTAAGCCTTGTGGCAGCTGTGGGCGAACCCGGGAAAGCACCGATACCGCTACTCCGCAGAGACCTCCCCCATGGATGGCATCCGACTAGAACTTCGAAGCGAATCTGGCTGTGGCGACGAGGGCTCCCAGGTCCCGAGAAGCGAGCGCAACAGAGGAACGGCGGCAGCGGAATATTGGTACCACTTCCTCTTCTGGAGCTGTATTCGGCGACTCCGAAGGGGGAGGTTTGCAAAGGGTGCGGTTCGCAACCGGCACCCTGGGGGGCGGGCGAGGACCTTGACAGAGCTCTCCGCCGCGCCCCGAGGCGGCCTGACGAGGACATTGTCGTGCTCCCCAGGCCCCCCACGGTGCCGATCGCAAACCACACCCTAGCGTAATCACCCCCTTTGTAGTCGCCGATGTATGATGCACGCCGCGTTTTTCACCTCCGAACCTCGCGACCACGCCGCCGCGAAGACGGCGGCGGTGGCGCCCGCCAGCCCGGCCGCCAGGGACGCCGCGTCGGTGACGTCCGCCCGGCCCAGCTCGACGCCGGGCGCGGGCGCCGCGCTGGCGCTGCCAGGCAGGCGCCCGGAGCGGGTGAGGGCCTCGGCACGCCGCGCGGGCCGAGGGGCGCGAGCATTCACACGGGGGGCCTGGACATTCTGTTCGGTACCGCCTTTGCGCGGTCAGCGTTAAACCGGTAGTCTTTGTGGGGGCCAACTGTGTTGAACTGTGTTGCGAGAGTGTCCCGCTGCAAGGGTCGTTCGGCCGTTCGCGCCAGGGAGCCCAGCTCCGCAAAATAAAACGCTTGCGCGCGCAAAAACTATAATTTTCTCGGGGCCATGAAGGACCCGTTTCCCTCGGTCGGAGCGCAACAAGCCGCCAGGGGTCCAGCGCCGATCTGAGAAATCCGCGCGGAGCTCAGGGAATTTTTGCTTCTGCCATTCTATGTTCTCCCACCAGGGTCGGCCACGCGCAGACGGGGAGGAGGAGGAGGAGGAGGAGGAGGAGGAGGAGGAGGAGGAGGAGGACGAGGAGGAGGAGGAGGAGGAGGAGGAGGAAAAGGGAGGAGGAGGAGGAGGAGGAGGAGGAGGAGGAGGAGGGGGGGAGAGGAGGAGGAGGAAGGAGGGGGAGGAGGAGGAGGAGGAGGACGAGGAGGAGGAGGAGGAGGAGGAGGAGGGGAAGGGGGAAGTCTTCATCGAAGGAGGCCGCTTCTGAGAAGGCTCCGCGCTGCCAGCGGCGCCAACCCTGGCTCTCTGGACGCGCCCAGGTTCACTGGAAAGCACTCGCGAGAGAACACGGGACCCTTCCGAGGGCCACATTGCCACAGGAGTGTGGAAGGCCTGGGTCGCGAGACACAGGACACAAGGGCACCCTTGACACAAGGACACAAGGACACAAGGACCTACTGATCGACCCCGACTGTAGGGCGGATCCTCCCTGCTTTGATTCTGGGGCCCGAGGATCGCGCCGCATCGCCGACGCATCCGCGATGCGGCTCGATGTGGAGCCCAGCTTTCTCCAAGCCGACGGCGCCGGTGCATCGCCGACGTCGCCGATGCATCGCCGATGTATCACCGATGCCTCGCTGATACATCGGCGATGCATCGGCGGAGATGTCCGCCCTACTTGTCGGGCTCCTCTGAAGCCGATTTCTGCCCTCCTCTGTAGTCGCCGTTTCCGCCACCCCTCTGCGGGAAGGGCCGCCCCACTCTGCTGAAGCGGAGCGGGGAAGGAGAGGGGGGGCGAGGAGGGGGAGGAGGAGGAGGAGGAGGAGGAGGAGGAGGAGGAGGAGGAGGAGGAGGAGGAGGAGGAGGAGGAGGAGGAGGAGAGAGAGAGGAGGAGGAAGAGAGAGAGGAGGAGAGAGAGAGAGGAGGAGGAGGAGGAGGAGGAGGAGGAGGAGGAGGAGGAGGAGGACGAGGAGGAGGAGGAGGAGGAGGAGGAGGAGGAGGAGGGGAAGAAGGGGAAGGGAGTATCTGGACGATTGGAGGGAGAATTGCGTTCGTTTTCTGGTGCGAGGGGCGTGTCGCGCTCCGGCGGGCTCCTCAGCCAATTCTCTGCGGCGGCATCCCCGTCACGGGACGGCAGCTATGAGCTCACCGAGGGGCGAACTTGGCCCACCCAACCCTCAACCCGGCATAGACTTGTGCCGTTTGTAAGTTCGAATGATCAGGCTCCTAGCGGCCCAGTGCGCGACCAGAACATGTAAGTCTGGCGTCCCTGGAATGTTGGCGCCGCGTCGTTGCCTCCGCAGCTCCCGGGAAGAGATGGCTGGGAGGGGTCTTGGGTGTCAGCGTGAGCGCGCCGACCTCGCCCCACTCCCTCGCCCGTCCCCACGGTCCCAACCAGGCCGCCCTTCGCAGCAGCCACGAGCCGGACTTCGCGCGCGGTGCCGAAGCGATGCCGCGGAGCGCCGAGCGCGGGAAAGATCTCGGCCGCCCTGCGACCAGAGGCTCACCGGGGCGCGCACCCGCACCCGCGCTCCGCGGTCGACCAGCGCCTGCACCACCAGCGAGCCCGTCTTGCCGCCAGCCCCTGTGCCCCGCCACAAGATCATCGACCCTCCTCCTCCCCCTCCTCCTTCTCCTCCCCCTCCTCCCTGCCTCCATCTCCACCTCCTCCTCTACGTGCTCGTCCTCCTCCTCCTCCTCCTCCTCCTCCTCCTCCTCCCCGTCCTCCTCCGCCTCCTCTGCATCCTCCTGCGTCCAACCTCTTCTCCTCTTCCCCCCTTCCTCCTGCTCCCCCGGGGAGCCTGTCCACCATCTCCCTCATCCTCCTTGTCCTCGTCCGCCTCCTCCCCTGTCCTTGTTGCTGCTCGTGCTGCCCGTTCCTTGGTTGGGCATCGAGGAGTGCTGCCCTGCAAAACGCGCGACGCCTTTTGTTGTGGATATGCCCTCTTCTTATTATCCTGGCGATGCCATGTGTAGATGCAGGCTCTGGTTGCTCCAAAGCCTTCTTGACAGTCAACAGCTTAGGCAGAAGGCCTCTGCCTGTGGGCTGCCCCTTGGCTTGTACTGCCCCCCCTTCTCGCTGTTCTCGAGGGTGTGGGGCTCATGCGAGTGGTGCCACATCACAGGCGCGCGCGGGATCATCGCAGCCCCGTTGAACAGGCCCTGGTGGCAAGGGGTCTGGAGGAGCTTATCGGCCAAGGACCCCGGCGCGGGTCCCCGGCAGGCTTGCAGCAATCTCTGGAACCCACACCGGACTCCGTGGTAGTGGCGGTTAGCAACAGCTGCATATTCTATTCATGATTCAGTTTCGCCACCTGACGGTGCCTGAGAGCTGTCTCCGTCAGCTTCAACGCGGGCCATCAGAGTGTGTCCCAGGTGGTGCCTGCGTTGCTGCGCGATGGCCTGGGCAAAACATCTACTATCTCGATCTGGCTTCGGCGCTCTGAATTGCTCCGCCCAGGAAATGGCCACACTGTCAATCTCACTTCGCAGAAACTGTAGGTCCCTCCCAGCCGCAGGGACAGACTGTACATCCCTGTGACTCTCCACTTTGACAAGCACAATGCCCCTCGCAGGGTACTATGCTAGGGGGTCCCATCAAGTCATGCCAAACATCACGGTGCGACTCCAGGTTCACGCCACGCTGAACCTTGGAAAGGTTTTCGTTGCGAACGGTGTCGGTGACGAAATCGGCTGGCGCAACTGGGGCGACAGTTTTCGCAAACTCGAGCAGACTGAGAGCTTCCCCCTGTTGACTGACTGCTGGGTGCTTAGGACATTCCCGAAGCCGACGGCTTGGGTCTCGATGTCTTCGACACGGTACATAACTGCCGTTTGTCTGAAGCTCATCAAGAACATTCCAAGCCCAAGCAACGCGCCTCAAAACAGGATCCTGAATTTCCTGGCCCCCGCCAGCATCACCTCTACCATTATCGAAACCCCCAAGTATCGCACCCCCGAGGGCGCCGCCGAGCCCGCGGTAGTCAGCCTCGTCGGGAGGCGGGGAGACGGCGGTCCAGGACTTGCGCGCCAGCCCTTTGGTCAACATAAACTCAGATGATTCTCAGCGTCTGCTGAACCGCCTGACTACGAGCTATGAGACTGCCCTAAATTTTGCGTTATGAGTTATGAGAAAAGCCCCAAGCCGTGTGCCCATCGGACTCGAAAACGCCACCACTGCGAATGCAAGAGCTGCCCCAAGAGAGGCCACAATCAATCAGTCGGCTCTTCGTCCAGCTGTTGCCTGTGGCCACCGCCTCGAATATTCCTGCCCAGGAAAACTTGCCTTGCATCGCTAGACGCATGAAGTCACTCTTGAAATCAAAGTGGAACGGGACCTCTTCAAGACCCGCGCCGTTCCAAGAATTCGGAGCTGCCCCGCGCCGCAGCTTCCTCTCCATGCTGGCAGCATGGGCTTCCTTGAGCTCAACTAGGCCCACCTTGCCCCGACCCAACTTGCTCTCGGAAACCGCGACCTCCCACCTGCGCCAGATCGCCTTTCCAGGCCCAGGACCCCCAGGGATGCCGTCCTAGATTCAAGAGGGGTGGCGGCTGCGGCGGCAGCAAGGATCGCACGCCCTCTCCACCTTTGACCCTCATGCTCATCAAGGCCACGCTGCAGCGACCCCCATCCATTCCCTCCTAACTCCTGCCGCATGGAAGGGTGGATCTGTGAGGAACATGAACCGCGCTTCGATGGTGTCAGAAAAGGCGAGACATGCCGGTCCTCTCCAACCGCACCCGAGAGCAATAATTGCGGTCAGGCACCTGCCCCCCGAAGCGACTCCGCCCGGCAGACTACCCAAAGCCCCGCGCCACCTCAATACGATAATCATTGGGGGCAGCGCCGCGGTCCTTATCTGAATGCCTAGACGTTGAAAAAAGCAGCAGGCGTGGCATCTTTTTGCCCCGCATTTTCCGCAGTCCGTAACGCTACCCTTGGAAAATGCGTGAAGTTCGCGAGCCTTTCGGTGGCGGGCGCCCGACGCGAAGCCTGCGCGGGGCGAGCAGCGTTGACTCTACCCCTGTCAACCCCAAGATCGGCCGTGGCCAACTTGACTCGAATCTCCACCGAATTATTCCCGAACAAAACTGCTGCAACTGTTTCGCGACTGATGCGCTAGAACAGAATATGCTAGACTTGGCAGCCATGGCTTGGCGAGCAGCCCCGGTGCTTTTTGTTTAAACAATAAAAAAGACAAGCTTGAGACCTGCCTCAGACATGTTGGCCAAAACTCGCCAGCTGGTGCAATTCATGCACGGGATTGCGTCGTTCACCCCACATGTGCAAGGGCGCCTCTCCTGGCGCACCTGCGACCAAGTCTGCGCAGACATGGCGAAGCGCCGTCCGACCGAGGTCCGCGGCTCGACAACTCCCAGGGATGAGCGAAAGCTCTGGGTCCACAGGCGGAGAGCATCAACCACGACCCCTCGGGGCCCTGACCGCCACGCAGACCCGCAACTCGGAGGCGAACGGAGCAAGGCGGGAAGCTCAGCCCTAGAGCTCTGTCCAACGTCAGAACCCACCTGAGTGTCGTAAAAACCTTTCACATCCCAGAGCAAGCTGCCACTCTGAAAATCAAGGGAACTGGAATTAGCTGCCTCCTCGTCTCGAGAAAGTCTCACGAGGGTGACTTGCAGGGCCGACGAACCCGCGATCGCGGAGTCCCAGGACCAAGCTTTGCCCCGAGTCACGGAAGCCCGATCAGCACGCCTAAGATGCTCACGCAAACGGCCCAGCCAGGCGAGTAGACCGATCGCACGATCGGGGCCCGCATCTTCGGCTACAGGGGTGACTAGAGTGACGAGCACTTGCCGAGGCCAGCAGCATCTGGATTCAGTTTCCGAAAGGAGGCTGGACAGCTCTCTCAAGCCTGCTCGGGGCAGACGGAGGAAATCTTGCCGGGGCATCTGATCGACCCCTGGGGCCCGATCGGGCCAAACAGAAACCGGCCTGCGCAAGACTTCTACCGCGATCTCCCTCGGGCACTGCTGCTCGGTCAGCTTCTGGGCCTTCCGCCGCAAAGAAAGACTCGGGGAAATAACTGAGACTGCTAGTGATTGTTTTTCGGTGGTGCAATCTGATACCGAATGGATTCTGCCAAGGTTCTCGAGAGCCGTCAGACGTGCAAGACAGAAGCCAGAATATAAAAATCCGCTCCCCGTTAGGGGATAGAAGGAGGTGAAAATTGTTTGTGCACTATGTACACAGGTCCAGGGTGGCCGAGGGCGGGCAAGCTTGAGCCCAGGCAGTTATGGAAACGGGTGATAACTGCAGGGGTGCAACAGACTAAACACTCATAGCAAGACCGTGCATCGCACAACCATGCTAGTGATTGTTTTTCGGCGGTGCAATCTGATACCGAATGGATTCCGCCAAGGTTCTCGAGAGCCGTCAGACGTGCAAGACAGAAGCCAGAATATAAAAATCCAAACCCTTTGGCATAGTCGAAGTTCTCAGCGCAGCGGTACCCAGACCATTGCCGTACGGAGGTGCGGGAAGGCGTCAACCTTGATGTAGTGCGAGAAAACCTCGAAGCAACGAAAACGCAGCACTGCACATATTACAGGTCGAGTAGAATCTTAGCGAGGAACTTTGCCAGACGATAAGGATATTGGGCGGCCCTCGAGGTCATCGCTTTACCCTCCAAAATCAAATGTTTATGACCAGGACGGAACGAGCAGAAACCATGTTTCCCGTGGCATCTGAGGCGATCTGGGAAATTGATAGCCAGGTTACCGGACTCGGTGGGGCAGCCGATGACGATCCGCGTGGATTTTCTCCAATGAGCACCGAAAGCGCACTGATGCAGGTCTAGAGCCCACGAGTGCGGAAGAACATGAGCAGCCACATTAGCTTGCCGCCACAAGTACGAGCCCATTGGATTCTCCATAGCATAAGGGATCTTGAATTGAACACACAACCGAATGATGTAGACTGCGACAGCTAAACATAAGTTTCCAATCTTTACTGTTTCACGATCATGGGCTCGCAATCGTGGTAGGCCCTGAGGAAACTTGGCACTCCTGACGGGGTACCTGTTCCGGGCCAGCGAGAAGGACGCGCACGGAGGCGCAATCATCACAGCACGAATGAGACCACGGCGAAAGTGATCCGCGATGATGCGGAGGTTAGCAGCACTGCACACATCCTGATCAGCGCCCTGCCGAAGGTCTAAGCTGATGGCAGGTATCCCCAGCTTGCGAGCCCACGCGGCGACCCCTCCACCACCGGCGAAGAGATCCAAGAGATACGGAGCCTTCTGCGCCTTGAGCACAGCGCAGGCGGCGGCCCCGCTCAGGCCGTGGGGCGCTGGGATGCTGGAACGGGTGCGGGGCGGCCGTGAAGGATGACATCCTCCAGCACCCTCAGAGCAGCCACGCAGAACGACTTCGTGAGCTCCGACAGGCCTTCCCACGACTCGTTCAGCCTGCCCGCCTTCTCGTAGCGCTTGACCGAGGTGAGTGTGGCCCAGCGCCCGCGCTTCTGGACCTCCTCCTGAGTCCGGCGGTTCGAGGCCCTGTCCAAGCTTGCCCCGGAGTGTCTCCCCTGGTAGGGCACCGCGTCGACCCCGATGTTGTGAG